GTATGATATAATTAACCTTTGACCTTGAGGAAACATTAGTTCTCTAACTTTGGTCTCAGGTTGAGGCAGGTGAGCAAAGGTCCTAACGCACCTCATGAAGAAACAGACACTGGCAACTAAAACATCAACTGTAGCAGTAAGTAAACCTGTAACACTGTCAGACCAGAACTGGTTTAATGGTCCAAGTTCATAACTGATCAGGACAAATACGAACAGTTGAGAACATTTTATTATTTTGTGAACATTCAAACTTCCTCCAAAAGTTGCAATTTAAAAGACAATCATGTAGCTAAAAATTAAACTGAGTCTTTTCTTCTTCATTTAATTTTCAATGACAGAAAGACGATCTGCTTCCAGAACCTCCAATAACGACAGGTGGTCAGTTTTCTGAAAACCACTGAAAGAAGATTATACTTAAGCATTTCCAAACTGGTTCCCTTGGCAGAATTAGTGTAATATTGCATATTTAAGACTAGTTCCAAATAATGTCATGAAATTATATGATGTGATTAACACTAGAACCATAGTGGGGAGGAGGCAGATTGAACTGGTACCTGCTTCACCATGCCTACACCATTTTTAAAATACCAAAGGATCAAAATAAACCCCATTTGGTGGCTCTAGTGGTAAGTGTGAGAGTGTTTTCGAACTCATGATGAAAGCAAATTTGGACACAATAACAACTTAAGATTAAAAAAAAGAAAAATAATTTAGATGCAAGTTATGTGCTAACATAAAAATTCATCATTACTGACATTAATGACTTTCTATAGCACACTGAATCTCCTCTTGTGCAAATCTTTTACTGCAAGCACTACCATTTGAGTGCTTTTGGTTCTTGGTGTGCTTTAAAATTTGTATTTTGGTTAAACTCTCATCCACATAAACCAAACAGCTTGAAGCCCTTTCACCTACATGACTTGTCAACTTGAGTTGAGCAAACTCGAAAGCAGGAAAAGGATTTTTTTGGGCAGTGTTACATCCCAGACTCAGGAGCCCTGATCTCCTGCTAACCATTTTCTTCGGTTTCAGGTTCAGAATCTGACAATGGTTCCTGCCAGTCACCAACATCATCATCATCTTCATATTTATCATCAATACTGACAGTTCCAGCATTATGTGGCTGTAAATGACTTTTGAGATCTGTGTTTTTGCCTGGTTCTGGTCCCCCACAGTCCTCCCCATCTGTTTTCTGTTCAGCTGGGACACTGGGTGGAGGCTTTGTGTCAATATTGTCTTGATGAAGCTGTGAGAACTTGGATTTCTCCTCCTCCTCATCTTCACTCGTAACAGGAACGGCAGTAAATGGGTACATGGTGATTTTAACCTCCTCCATCAAATATAACTTCTTGTCTTCGCAACCAGCCAGAAGTTCCTTCTGCTCCTCCTTTACATGGAGGGGCTCTGGATCCTGGTCCTCTTGGATACAGGGAGTCTCTTCTGTGTGCCCGACATCTGCAGGAAAAACAACCAAACAACAACCAAATATTGACTAATTCAAGAAGTTTGGAAATAACTGGTAAAATCATAATTCAATTCTGATTTTATCACCCTGTGAAAACAAGTTTCAATATGCATATTTTAATGTACACTTCTATTCAGTTTATATTATATTATTTATATAGTGTCAAACAGTCACCTTAAGGCACATCATACTGTAAGGTAAAGACCCGGCAATGACAGAGAAAATGCCAACAATCAGACAACCTCCTATGAGCAAGAACTTACCATCAGTGGGAAGGAAAAACTCCCTTTTAACAGGAAGAAACTTCTGGCAGAACCAGGCTCAGGGAGGGGCGGCCATCTGCCGCAACTGGTTGGGTCAAAATGTTTTTCAGAATGCTGCTTAGGCCCAGTCTTTCAGAAAATAATAGCTGACACACCCTTCAGCACATCCATCTACTGTTCTATTAAGCCTCATGAGAAATGATCTCTGTGGAAGGGAACCTGTCAAGAAGCTATTGTTAATGAAGGGAAACAGGGAGAGGCTGAGGTATCAACATTTACACAAGAACTGGACTGAAAATTAGTGGCAACAGGTCTGATGGACAGAATTCGAATTTGATCAAATCATCAGCAGAAAATACAGAGGCGGTCAGGAGAGAGGTACAATG